ACATTCATAACCTTATCAAGGCAAAAGGTTTTAACCATAATCTTAGACCACAACAAATTACTCACTGAAATCCTGTTTATTGGAGCACAGAAAAGTAAGTAAGTTGTGCAACAGACTGTTGCATGAACAATTCAAAGTGTGACTGTTCTTTTTGAATGAACACTTAGTTGTTATCGGTAGATGGCAACTGCTTTTCTGAAAAAAGCTATGATGGTTTAAGCTTTGGTAATGAGAAAACAAACTACAGACAAAAAGTATGAAAAGAATTGTTCAACCAAACCATGGAATGCACTCCACCTTTATGATTTATATATATATATATATATATATATATATATATATATATATATATATATATATATATATATATATATTAGGGCCGGGACTTTAACGCGTTAATTATGATTATTTCATTAGAAAAAAATGATGCGTTAAAAAATGTACGCATTTAATCACAGCTTGCATTTGGAGCAAGGCAGAGCCTTTGTCATTGCACGATTTCCTCGTAGACCGAATATCACTGACGCACACAACAATGCACAGTGCTATTGGCTACTAAAATGGAATAAAAACAGAAAGAAGTTGCCTTGCTTGGACTGATGCAGGATTTAGGAAACCCGTCCGCCTCTTTTCTTAACTTGGAAAAAAAAACTTCCAGACAACAACGGAGTCCGTATCGCGGACATTTTTCAGAGATCGTCTCAGCTGCAGCTGCCCGGTGGCACCGGAAACTTTACAAAAGTTGCGGTAAGCTATATTTTTAACATTTACGTAACATCTGTGCAGCGCTCAAAGCACCAGACAGAATAATTCTTTGCCCTAACAGTAGTTTATGAAAGTAGTCAGACAAACGAGAGGCACCTGGCTGCCGCTGGGAGAACGCTCCGTGTTCTCACTACTATGTAAACAATCACAAGCAACGTGTCTTAAAGTTGAAAACAGAAGTTTAACACTATATATATATATATATATATATATATATATATATATATATATATATATATATATATATATATATATATACATACATACATATGTATGTATATATATTAGGGCCGTGACTCGATTAAAATATTTAATCTAATTAGAGGCTTTGTAATTAATTAATCTAAATTAATCGCATTTTTAGAGTGTTTCTGTTTTAACTTAAACTTCTGTTTTCAACTTTAAGATATATTGCCTAGTTTGTAAATCAAACGCTCTCGGAACGCAAATACTGACGTCAAACCAAAGTTTACTAAAGGCAAAACAGATGCCGGTGTTCTGGGAATTTCTCCTACCCGGTAAACCGTCCTACCCGTTGTTCCTGAGCATGTGCACGCATGCGCACAATACAAAAAGGGAATGCTACTCCGTTGTCATATTTGCAGGAAAATAGGTAAGTAGTAAGTATTAGTACTTTTTTTTTACATTGATACTTGATTTTTTGGGTTAGGGTTAGGGCTTGTGACATGTAAAACACTGTAAAATTATCCTACGGGTAGGACGTTTTGCCAAAGTAGGCCGTTTTCTCAGAACACCGGAACACACACGGGGGTTGGGGGTTGTGGGGGTGGGTGGGTGGAGGGGGGGTCTGGGGTGTTTGACAAGTAATTAAAATTGTGCTCACATTTTCTAAGTTAACACCCCCCACCCCCGTGCAGCGGCCGCAAACTCACTGATGCGTTTAAACAATGTCGACTGTCATACTCTATGAACGGATATTCCCGTCATTAAAAATATAACTGAAGCCGGCCACAATAATGCAACAGAGGTTTTATTTTTAAATATATCGGAGGCATATTGCTGTGTCATGGCTATATATATATATATATATATATATATATATATATATATATATATATATATACATATATATATATATATATGTAGACACCTTCCAAGCTCGGGTCTTCTAACATTTATCCTATTGCACTTTTTAAGAAATGGTGAGAGATGCTCGAGTTTATTTTATGCATAGAAGCGCTGTGTGTTATATCATCATCTTCTGCCTTCTAGAAGGCTGCAAAAACAGGTGGCCAGCTGATCCAGATCTTACAATGAACCAGATGCTGCTTTTCCACGTTAAACACAAGCTCACACTCGTAACAACACATAATAACTGAACCGATGGTTTTTTAAATGTACCTGCAGGTCCTTGGTGTATCTTGTGCATTAAGGCAGGTGAGCGCAGTTAGTGTCTGTTGAGTGTGAACTTAACAAAAGTGAGACAGACGGATTAAATTATAGACCTAAGAGGATGATGGGAGTTGTGCCTTGGCAGGGTCTGCTGCTTATAAAAACCACTTAACGACAAAGCTCAACTCTACTTGATTTTACAAGGTAATGCTTTTGCGACCTGATATCTTCATCTGAATCATTCCAGATATTAGCAGGAGTCCGCTCTTGATCGCAGATTTAAAGTTTGCTGAACAGTTGTTTGTTCTACAGTACTCTGTCTACTTCATCTCAGCCAACCTTGTCATCTCACATTTCTTCCTGTCATCCCTTCAGCCCATCCATCTGTTCCCCTCATCCTTCATTTCTTTCTTTCTCAATTTTCAACCGTCACTCTCCATCGGTCATTTCCATCCATCTTTCTTAGCTTTTTGATCTGCAGGGATTCAAAGAACGTCTTTTATCATCTAAAGCCAAAAGGTGTGCTATGGTATTTTGGCCCGTGTGTTTTCTCTATGTGTCCCCTGAACTATAGAAGGAATGTTAATTAAAAGCCTCTAATTTATAACTGTTATTTGTTTCCATGCTGGTCCCTGTGCACTTGCTGGTAATAGATTTAAATTTGGAAATGAAAATTTCCCATTAGAAAAATCCCAACACATTTGTACGTTTAAATAGATTTAGACTTTAAGCAGCTCCATCATAGTCTTGGACAGGGGAAAATAGGTCAACTTGAAGTATGCTGGCAGCGTTGGAAGGGAGGATGTGAGGAAGAGGGGCCGTTTCTCAGTGACAAACTGCCATACAGTATATATGGACTATTCATGAATACTCTCTGTGTAAGCCTTGGGCACTGCTGTGGCCCCGTTACTATGACGTTCGTGGTGAGCGGATGAGGAATGCGGCCTTCCAATGAAAGAGAGGGAGAAGACGTTTCAGCTTTTCTCTACTTTAGTCACTGGTCACATCTCCACCTTTCAACTCTCTCTAAGCTGCATCCTTTTCTCCCTCTGCACCCATCACTCTCTCTGCAACAGTAGCTTCACCTGCCCTCTCTTTCAGATCCGATCTCACACCTGAGTCCCTGCACAGATTACTCCACCACCAATGTGTGCAGTGTTGTGAACTTCCTGCTGGTTTACCATCTGTTGCTCTCATCAGCTGACTGGATGAGCCAGTGCTCCTGATGCCTCTGACCTCAGCGTGCTCTCACCCCATCCAGAAATAACACAATATCCGTGTTTTTTTTTAATCACAGCATTTCGACCTTGGCTGTCATTGTGAGTCACAACAGTGACGCTGGACCACAAGCGTTGACTTTCTCGCTCAAGCGAAACACTCTGCGTCTGTAACAAGTGCTGCTGGGGTTTTCTGTGCAGTGAATGTTGCAGACAAGAAAGAGAGCTGACAAGGAGCACGTAGCCACAGGGGACAGCATAGAGAATATCGCACAGAGGTGCAAGCACAACAAAACACTTCCCTCTTCACTCTACTTCCTGTTTAGCTCTGTCTACCTTTTTAAGTCTTTAAATGTGTCCCAAAAGAAAATTATCCCCCTTCACCTCTATGAAATATGCACACTTAGACTGAAAAACACATACAGTGCTCCATCATCAAGATCAGTATTGTAAACACAGAACTCCCCCCCTCCAGTCACTGCACCCCCTCTCCATGTGTCAGAGACAGCTGACCTACTTCCTGTCTAGCCAGCTCAGTGGTTGACACTACACTCATCTTGAACTCATTGTCTGCATCTATGTTTGTGAACAGATCCTGGATGACAGGGCTCGTAAAAACATGTTGGAGAGACCTTTTAGATGCCTTCAAATTATTTTGCCAACCGTTGTTCCTAATAAGACTGTGTGTGTAAAACACTTTATTACAAGTTGTAGGCTAATACTGAATTTTTTTATTTTTATTTTTTACTTAGGATGAATAATTGGATTTGTCACTCAGGACCTTGCTGGTATTTATTGTGGAGAAATGTGCTGCAAAAAGCACCAACACAAGTTTTTTTCATATATTCTGGTAACTGCTCATTTTCTACTGATGAACTTTCAAAACAGATTCAGCTTGTAAAATGAAAAGCGAGCATTGTTTTTTTGTTCTTGTTAATCTCAGAGACACCTATAGCATCACGCCTTGACTCCCAGTGCCTGGCCACTTCCCCCCATTTCCTTGTTCTTCCTCATTCCTCCACTGCTTCGTCACGTATGTGCTCCTTTAAGCTGCAAACTATTTTCATGTTAAGTTAAATAACATTTTTTTTCTTCACCTGACACTTAAACCACCTCCCACTGCAAGCTGGCAGAAAAGGGCAACAGGCGATAAACTGATGGAAAACAGAGATGCAGGCTGCAGCTAAGCTCATGCAGACATGATGGCTTTAAGAACATAAAAATGGACAACCGAGCAAATGTGATGCCTTGCAGATGCACCATAAACGACTGAGGGCAAGATTGTGGTTCTCATGTGTGGCATCTTTAATGCCACTGTAATCTTGGCACAGTGAAGTGATATTCTGAGTGCACAGGCAGACAGCAGGCAGTGCCCACAGGTTGAATAGGACAGAAGAAAAGTAGTTTTAGTTTCCAAACGGCTTTAGAGAAGAAACAGACAACCTAAGCGCTGACTATCCATGTCAGCAAAAATCAGCAGGAGACATCAACTCAGCATCACCAGCTGCATTTCATTTCTGACCCTAACAAATTGGCCTCTGTAGAAGCTTTCCTCCTAATTTGGGACATTCTATTTATCATTTAGAGGCTAATCTAATCTTCTGGTGCAAGAAAATAATAAGGCACCTCTGTTCCTATTTTTTTTTTCAATGAAATAAATCTCACCTGTAATTCATTTAGGTCGATGTCGACTTTCCGCCTTGGAGAGTCACTCGGCATGTACATGGTGAACACAAAAATTCTCCTTGAGCTGTCAGTTATCCGGACTCGGCTGCCACCGCCGATTTGTGCGGTCTCTGCTGCTCCACGGATCCCTCTTCTTCTTGCTAGAGTGATCCCAAGTGGACAGAAAATAACAAAAAGCACGTTCGGTTTTTTTCTCTATAGTCCCGGACGCGCTCGGGGATCGGGTGCGCGCAGCTACAGCGCACACGCTCGGAGGATGGAGCGCATCAATACTTCCATGTGTGCGGGGATGTGGAAGGTGAAGCGCTGCGGCGGATGGATTGCCTGTTTTCTGCTGTGACTGCAAGCCGGTAAATACGGAAAGGGAGAGAAGCGCACTGGCTCCTCACATAAACCCCGCCCGGTAAAAAGGCGGGGTTTGTCTGAAACGGTAACCCCTTTCAATAAAGTAACTTTCCTCTCTCTGCCAGGTCAACCTTTGCTCTTTATTAATAAAAAGCGCCTCATCTTGTTTCTTTTTTTCAGTTTAACGTTATGAGTTTATGAAATAGCCCAAAGCTGTTTTTGTCAAATATAAATGAAGTTTTCCAAATGATCTGTTTTTTATTTAATAAAAAAGGACAAAAGAAGAACAAAAATGACATTTTAAGAACCCCTACTGGTGAGGAGAATTAGTGTATTAATTAAAAAAACCTTTTCATTTAATGAAGCGTTTCAAAAGTTGGCAATTGTGTCACACTAAACATCTAGATTTTTAAATAAAAGAAATTAAAGCGTATCACCATCAGTGAGGGGAAAAAATAAGGATCATCAAGACACTTTCTCATTAAAACATCTACATTTAATAAGAAGCTTTCTTGTTGAAATGTAAAGAAGAAACAAAGTAAGATGAAGTCAGGGGGTGCCCCCAAGGGGTGGCCATGGCAACCTAGAAAATTATTTCCAGGCAGAGTTCTTACATATTGCTCCTTTAATGTTTGTATGGAACATGTGTAATTGTTGCAAACCAAGCTTGACATGAATGTTGCAACATACACTTGATGAAAGCACATACTGCTTCAGGTGAAGTCAACTTTCAATAGGCATGTGACATTCTAGTTGATTAGGTGCTACTTGTTCGACCATTTATTTTTCGTGTTTCTGCTCTAACCCTAACCCTTGTCAAATCCCTAGTCAGTTGTAGTTCTGCTGGAGGTTTCTTCCTGTTAAAGGGGAGTTTTCCTCTCCACTGTTGCTGCATGTTTGCCACAATCTGCTGGATTTCCTCCCATAGGACAACGTTTAACCAGTTTGAAAAATGAACTGAACTCAGTGCACTGATAAGTAGGTGGGTTAGGGTTAAACTCTGGTTAGCTACAAATTTTATAAATTGCAGCAAAAAAGCATGTGATGCATTAATATTAGACTGGTGTCAAGTGCTCAAAGGCTTGTAGCATTCAGATAAGACAACGACAGACGATGACACCTCCTTCAATGACACCTCCTTGGAGGAAATCTCACTAAAAGCTGTGAAAAGAAAAACTCATCACTGCCTGATCTCATCTGAGGTGAGGGTGTGTGCAATAATTCTCATTGTAAGTGCAGCGTTGAATTTCATTTTCTGTGGCAACAAAATATAGGCCTGTGTTGTAGATACTTCCTAATATAAAGTACACGAGTCTAATGCAGAACCTGTTCTCAGATGGCCCATAGTTGCACGTAATCAGAACAGCAGGAGTTGTGCAACTAAATAGTTTTGCTTTTACTCTTGTTGTTATGTCATTAAAAATTACAAGATTAAATCTTGATTTCCTGACATTTTTGAAAAGGGGAAACTATTGGGGGTTGTTTCATTTGTCAAAAAGCCAGTGGGTTAGTTTAATAAAAGGGCATAGTAATGGCTTTTTCAGTTTCAAACGAAGCTTAAAAATCACAAAGACTTTATATCAAACACTACTTTAGTAAAACATTCATGATTCTAAATGTTTGAAAATCATTAGCATCCTCCCTAATGCAATTTCTTCTTCCTGAGTAAGTGAGGCAGCATCAGAGGTAACTGTAGAACCTCATCTGCGTTTGAACTGTTTTGATCCAGTTGAGCTTTCAGAGCTATCAAAAATATTAGCTTCATCTAAACCTTCAACTTGCATTTTAGATCCAATCCTTATATAGGAAATTTTTTCTGATTGGCTTAATGAACTGACCTGTATTGGAATGTTTACTGTGTGAAGTGCGTTGAGGTGACTCTTGTTGCGATTTGGCGCTATATAAATAAACTTGAATTGAATAGAACTTAATTGAATTCAGATTTGATGTTTTACTGCATATTTAATTCAAAATGTTGTCATTTTAGCTATTTCTCAAAAAGAAAAAAATTATTTACCATTATTATAGGTTGGCTTGCTTGTCACTAGTTGGTTACAGTAAAGAATATATTTTCAAATATTCAATTATAATAAATATTTTTCTATGTGGTTGTATAAATAAACTAGGAGTGCTTTTTGAGGCCGTTTTAATAAATTGTTCTTGATCCCTTTTATTTTAGGATCCAACAGAATGCATACCTTCCTGATCTCATTCTGATTTAGATGAAAAGCTTGTGGAGCCTGTTTTGTCAACAAGTTAAGTAAACAAGTTAGCCATGGAAAAGGGTTTTTAGACATCTGAAAAATCCAATAAATGCAATCTCATCAATCACAACACACCTGTATCTCAACAGTAGAAGAGATTATTTTTTTAATCCCCACAGTGCTGTTTCAGCTGAATTAATCTAAATTTTCCAAACAAAAAAATGTACCCTATATATGCCATTGTTCTGTTTCCAGGTAAAGTTGTAAAAAGAAACATCCTCCACCCAGCTTAGACTGTTAAGCCTCCAGGTGAGACGATTTTAAGTAGAATTCTTCTGAAGATCACTTGTGGGAATCTCACTCATTTTGTTACATGACAGCTGATGCTATATGTGGCATGTTTTATGACTCACCTTTGTTTACAGCTTTGCAGTGTAAATTTAACTTCTCAGCATGTACTGCAAGTATATAAATATTTTTCCTTCTTTAATGCAGTTAGAATTTAATGTGAGGCTGATGATGGTATTTTAGTGTCTTCACTTACACTTGCATAACAGTGAAATATCACCTGAGAATTTTCAGTAATTCCTCATAAAACCGGTAATTCTCATTTAAAGGTAAATTTAATTTATCACCAGTAGAATTGACTACTGCAATGCCCTGCTTTCTAGTCTTCCTAAAAAGAGCACTTCAGGTCTACAAATTTTACAAAACTCAGCAGCTCGTGTCCTGACGAAGACCAGGAAGCGGGAGCACATCACTCCAGTTTTACAATCACTGCATTGGCTCCCCGTATGTTCCAGGATCCATGTTAAGAGGCTCTTAATGGTTTTTAAGTGGCATAGTCTTGGCCCATCTTATCTCTCACAACTACTTTTACCATATGAACCCTCCCGGTCCCTGCGCTCCTCTGGCAACCGTCTCCTTGTCATTGCTAAAGTCAGGACACACTCACGGCGAGGCGTCTTCTAAGTTATTACGGCCCTCGGCTCTGGAACGGGCTACCGGAGGATCTCAGGGCCGCAGAGAACGCTCATGTTTTTAAGATCAGGCTCAAGACCCACCTTTTTTAGCTTTTAACTGATTGCTATTTATTGCATTGCTTGTTTTACTTATTTATTTATTTTTAATTACTGTTGTGTTACACATTTATGTAGTTTTATTTCTATAATCACATTTTATTGGATATTTTACTATCCATATTAGCTCTTGTTGTATTACATGTTATGTATTTTAATCCTTCCAGTGTTTCCTCTGTGGAGCCCTCTGCCTCGGGACTGGTGGTTGGTGGCGGCGGCTGGGGGCACTTCTTGGGTAGTGTCCAGGTAGTGGTGGGGGTTGCCACCCTCCCTCCCAGGGTGCCCTGGATTGGTGTCTTGGCTGCTGCCGTGAATCTGCTGCTGTCGAGAAAGATGGCTCCCTTGTTGTGTGTGTGTGTGGGTGTGTGTGCCTGGGAATGGTTTGTTGATTGGGGGTGAAACTGTCATAATTGGTTCAAGTGTGGGAAAGGGAGGAAATGTGGGTTATATGGGTCATTTTAATCTGTTAAACACTTTATGTTGCTTGCTTTGCATGAAAATTGCTATATTAATAAAGTTTGATTGATTGACTGATTGATTGATGATTGATTGATTGATTGATTGATTGATTGATTGATTGATTGATTCGAAAAGTTTGTAATTAGCATGACTACAAACTAGAATTCGGCACGTCGCATATGTGGCGTCACCACATAATCTCCTCCCTCCCCAAAGTAGTTGCTACTTACCAAATGACCAGATTTATGGTGGTTCTTTCATCCTGTGGGAAGTTTGCTGAACTTAGAGCCCTTTTCCCTCAGTTTTCTCCGTGTCTGGTTTGATGACGTCACTTTCGTGAAGCGCATTTGTAGTCCTGGACTTATTTTCATACAAAAACTAAAATAACGTTTCCCCCTGTTCGAAAATAAGCACGTTCTTGGTGTCAAAATGTGTCTTTAAAATTCACGGGCATCTTATGTGAAATCCATGGCAAGCGGAATTAGAAAATAGCATTTTTTTTAGCCCCATTGACTTGCATTCATTTTTTTTTTTTTTTGTTCTTCCGGGGACCCATGATAAGGAAGTGACTTAGGCTCCCTATAGCTTTACGAACAGCAGAAATAGTATCTGCATAAAGGACTAATGCTCTATTGGCTTGTCTGAAGACAGATTAGATCAAATCTTATTGAAGCTGTTTAAAAAAAGCTCAAATATTCTAAATGTCTTAGTGGATAGTTTAAGAATGTTATATTTCTTATCATTGCTGTTAAATCTTCATTTAACTGGTATTAGCATGGATATTTCAAGGGTGTCTATAGAATTATGTTGCTGATAATACACAACGAGAAGCAAAATGTCTCATGTCTGGAGTATTTTTTAAAAGCTTTTGCCAAAATAACTATAAATTACAAAACTGACAGCAGAGTAAAAGGTTTTAGAATTTTGCATGAAGTGTTGTCAAATTTAGGACTGGGGCTTACAAGTTGTCGTAAACATTCTTGTCTTGCTTGTTCGAACTAGTCATTGGCTCATCAAACCCGAGAGGTTAAGTATAACTTCTTCCTACAGAGGCTGTCTAAGATAGTAATTACTTATTTCTGTCACAGACTTTGAAAAGGCTGGAATCCCCTTGAGCAGCAAACTGACAAAGAGAAACAGGTTTTTTGTTGTTGATCTTAGCTTTGAAGAACCACAAAGTTCTTTAAGACATGACAGGGTTAGCTCCACGCCTTGGTCGATCGGCTCAACACCAAGGTGAACTTCCTGACCGACCTCACCCTTCAGTTATTCACATCCC